TCAATTTTTGATGAAATCAAACAAAGTTAAATTTTGGACCCTTTGGACCTCAATGTGGACCAATTTAAAAACAGGGCCCAAAATCCAAAAACTTAATACATGGTTATATTCAGCATATTAAAGAACCCCAAGAATTCAAGAATAAAACCCCATTGAAATTGATCAAGAAATAAGCAATTTATAAGAAGTATCTTCTTTTGCACAATACTGTGCAATTGAATATTTCTTGCTATTGCGCAATACTGTACAATTGACAATTTCTTGCTATTGCACAATATTGTGCTATTGGATATTTCTTGCTATTGCGCAATACTGTGCAATTGAAGATTTCTTGCTATTGCGCAATACTGTGCAATTGAAAATTTCTTGCTATTGTGCAATACTGTGCAATTGAAAATTTCTTGCTATTGCACAATACTTATTATATAAAAATTTACACATCCTGTTTGGTGTGTATCTCCTACCATATCATTATTATTTGCTTTTAAATATTAATCAGAAATAACCAACTTAAAATGGAAAATTTTAAAAGAAAAAAAAAAGGAAAAAAAGAAAAAAAAAAAATCCCCCCCCCCCAAATTTTTTGAACCCCCTTATGATTCATCACCCCCAAACTCAATCCCAGCCTTCCCTTTGTGGTATGGTACCTTGCAGTACAATTTCAGAAAGATCCATACACTTGAACACAAGTTATTGTCTTGAAACTAGAAAAATGCTTATTTTTGGCCCCTTTTTGGCCCCCAATTCCTAAACGTTTCAGGCAATTACCCCCGAACTCAATTCCAGCTTTCCCTTTGTGATATGAAACCTTGTAGTACAATTTCAGAAATATCCAAACACTTACACACAAGTTATTGTCCTGAAAGTAGAAAAATGCTTGTTTTTTGCCCCTTTTTTGGCCCCTAATTCCTAAAATTTTGAGGCAATTACCCCCAAAATTAATTACAGCCTTCCCTTTGTGATATGGAACCTTGTGGTACAATGTCAGAGAGATCCATACACTTACACACAAGTTATTGTCTGAAAGTTACAAAAATGCTTATTTTTGGCCCCTTTTTGGCCCCTAATTCCTTAACTGTTAATACCATAACCCCCAAAATCAATCCCAACCTTCCTTTCGTGGTATTGAACCTTATGGTAAAATTTCATGGAGATCCATTCACTTAAACTAAAGATAGAGTGCGAAAACCAATGTGTCTTCACACGACGCCGGACGACGCCAGACGACGACGACGACAACGTCATACCAATATACGACCAAAAAATTTTTAATTTTTGCGGTCGTATAAAAATGACCATATAATTGATATTCAAATACTGTTTAAAATAGTTAGGCATTTTCTTTTTAGTAATAAGTAAATGTTATCAACTGTATTTTATTCAACTCTGCAAATGTGGTTTGTTACTGGTAAGTATGGATGATAGTTGTTTCATTGGCAATCATAACACATCTCCTTATTTATATAATGATCTATATTCAACGACCTCAGGTACAAAAAAAATTCGTAAGGGTTCCGCGGAACCCAGTGTCTCGCCTACTTTTTCTGTTAATTGCAGGCTCAACAAAAATGAGGAAGTAAATCAATAAAAATATTCCACTTGATACTATCTTTTGATTGTAAGAAGCTTCTGTCCAAGTTTGGTAAAAATCAAGGATAGTTTATGAATCTAATAAATGTTTAAAAACTTTAACTGCAGACTGAATGTAATGTTAACTGGAAGAAAACAAAATTTCCTTCTAGATACTAGCATTTGATCATAAACAAGCTTCTGTCCAAGTTTGGTACAAATCCAAATAGTATAAGAAAGTTTTTAAAATTTTAAAAACTTTAACCACAGAGTGAATGTGTTGTTTCCTGGCAGAAAATCTAAGTCCATTTAAAAGTAAAATACGGAAAAAATGGATTTATTTTTTTACAAAATTCTTTCTAGATACTAGCTTTTGATCATAAAAAAAGCTTCTGTCCAAGTTTGGTACAAATCCAAAATAGTATAAGAAAGTTATTAAAATTTTAAAAACTTTAACCAAAGAGTGAATGTGTTGTTTCCTGGCAGAAAATCTAAGTCCATTTAAAAGTAAAATAAGGAAAAAATGGATTTATTTTTTTACAAAATTTACTTCTGGATACTATCTTATGATCATAAACAAGCTTCTGTCCAAGTTTGGTACAAACCCAGGATAGTTTAAGAAAGTTATTAAAATTTTAAAAACTTTAACCACAGAGTGAATGTAATATTTCCCGGCAGAAAAACTAAGTCCATTTATAAGAAAAATACGGAAAAAATGGAATTTTATTTTTACAAAATTTACTTCTAGATACTATCTTATGATCATAAACAAGCTTCTGTCCAAGTTTGGTAGAAATCCAGGATAGTTTAAGAAAGTTATTAAAATTTCAAAAACTTTAACCACAGAGTGAATATTTGTGGACGCCGCCGACGACAACGAAGACGACGACGGAATGTAGGATCGCTATGTCTCGCTTTTTCGACTAAAGTCGAAGGCTCGACAAAAATGTATGTAACTAAACTGTGATGGGAAACCTTTGACTTCTTTCTTTTATATAAACTTTTGATTTGGTACCATAGAACTATGTAGAATAAATGTACATTGCAACATGTCAACTCTTTCAATGACAATGCTTTTTTAGAAACTATAACTCCAAGCAAAATTATATTTCCAAGTTTCAAGTAATTTATGAATGAAAAAAGTAGTTCTTAATTAAGAAATAAACTGATTCGCTGAGCTCAGCTGGATACACCCGCAGAGGTCCAACCTTGAACAGTTGGGGCAAAAAGGGGACACAATATTCAAGCTTGATACAGGTCTGAATTTGGATTGTAATTAAATATTTGACATATTATAGTTTCTGAATAAAAGTAGTCAAAGAACTTGAAATAGGTTATATGAATTGAATTTATATTCAATTAAAGATTTCTTGCTGTTGTGCAATAAACTGTGCTGTTGCACAATACTTAACAAATCTGTTGCCAGACTATAAACAAATAAAGTTCAATTTCTTCTCAATGTCATATTTGAAATTTATGAAAATCTATAGGGAGATTACATCAATAGCTATAAATAATTCACCAAAGTTTCATGCGAACTGCTTAAAGCATTTTTGAGTTGTTGTCCAACAACAGTGCACACGCTGAAATGTCTCGCCTTCTTTACTAATCACTGATATTATGTTGATAGTCCTTAATATAAAGCTTTATTACAACTGTCACATAAACTTAACATTAACCAAGAAAACTAAACATTGACCAATGAACCATGAAAATAGGGTCAAGGTCAGATGAACCATGCCAGGCAGGCATGTACAGCTAACAATTCTTCCATACAACAAATATAGTTGACCTATTGCTTATAGTTTAAGAAAAACAGACCAAAACACAAAAACTTAACAGAGCAAAGAACTGTGAAAATGAGGTCAAGGTCAAATAAAACCTGCACGACTGACATAAAGATCATAAAATATTTCCATACACCAAATATAGTTGACCTATTGCATATAGTATTAGAAAAAAAGACCAAAACTCAAAATCTCAAATTTGACCAGTGAACCATGAAAATGAGGTCAAGGTCAAATGACACCTGCCAGTTGGACATGTACACCTTACAGTCCTTCCATACACCGAATATACTTGACCTATTGCTTATAGTATCTGAGATATGGACTTGACCACCAAAACTTAACCTTGTTCACTGATCCATGAAATGAGGTCGAGGTCAAGTGAAAACTGTCTGACGGGCATGAGGACCTTGCAAGGTAGGCACATACAAAACATAGTTATCCTACTACTTATAATAAGAGAGAATTTAACATTACAAAAAATGTTAACTTTTTTTTCAAGTAGTCACTGAACCATGAAAATGAGGTCAAGGACATTGGACATGTGGCTGACGGAAACTTCGTAACATGAGGCATCCATATACAAAGTATGAAGCAGCCAATTCTTCCACCTTCTAAAATATAAAGCTTTTAAGAAGTTAGCTAACGCCGCCACTGCCACATCACTATCCCTATGTCGAGCTTTCTGCGACAAAAGTCGCAGGCTCGACAAAAACTGGAAAATCCCAATAAAACCCCATAACTCAGAAATGTAAAATCTAAAATTTATAAAATTCTAAAGGGAGCTTACGGATTGATAATTTAGTCTTAGATGCAAGATTTTTTTATCAGTTGTTAGTGGCTTTGAACTAGCTGTCAGTAACTGCGAGTACTCTCAGATCTGTACTTAGTGTCTTTTTGTTGTTTGGATGTACAACTACCCGACCACGTCCACTTGTATTTGTATTTATCCATCTGATGAGTTAAGCCTCTTTCAACTGATTTTTATAGTTTGTTCTTATATTGTACTGTTACACCACTGTCCCAGGTTAGGGGGAAGGTTGGGATCCCGCTAACATGTTTAACCCCGACACATTCTGTATGTACATGTATGTGCCTGTCCCATGTCAGGAGCCTGTAATTCAGTGGTTGTCGTTTGTTTATGTGTTGCATATTTGTTATATTCGTTCATTTTTTGTACATAAATTAGGCTGTTAGTTTTCTTGTTTGAATTGTTTTACATTGTCATTTTGGGGCTTTTTATAGCTGACTGTGCGGTATGGGCTTTGCTCATTGTTGAAGGCCATACTGTGACCTATAGCTGTTAATTTCTGTGTCATTTGGTCTCTTGTAGAGAGTTGTCTCATTGGCAATCATACCACATCTTCTTTTTTATATTTACATCAACAGATATAAACAATTCATCAAAGTCAAGGTGAGACAACAAAACTTAGTGGTAAGATCTCTGAAATTTTTTACACGGTACAAGTTTTTCTCATTATTGGAGACTGTACAGTGAAAGTAACACCTGTAACTGCTTAAACCCATTTCTTATGCACTTTAGTTCGATAAACTCACTGAATATCATACCACATCTCCTTATTTTTATATGCATTACAATTTACATGTGCATGTAATTATAAATATATATATATCAGAACAAAATTCATTGCGTCACTTTTATTTCTGCATCCTTTGGCACAATACAAGTTCTAAAATTACACAACATAACAACTAAATGTTATTTCAGATGAAAGTTTTGTTTCAGTTCCATTCATAGGATTTGTGAAAATTTTGTATGTTTTGCCAAGTCCAATAATTCGCTCTATGTGCACATGTTAATTGGAGACTTTTCTATCCCGTATAAGAGTTTTGGAACTAATTCTGTTTCTTTTGTACATTTAAACCTTTGTCTGCCATCACACTGTCACCTGGATCACATAATTGAACTACATTTTGTATTCTACATTTTTCAACTATTTCATAGTCACTGGTAGAACCAACATGTGCATTAGAGACATAGTTGACTAAACCACCAGGCGTTGAACATACAAGTATTTTCAGTGTTTCTGTTTTTATATGATGAAAAGGTTGCCTGAGCTCTAGGAGCTTTAGGTTTTATCACGGGATATTCTGTGCTGTTAATAATAATCCAAGTCGTAGGAAACTTTAATTTGAAGTTGGAAGGCGAAAAATGCCTGACTAAACCACTAGATGGCCAAGTGTTAGCCTCACACCACTGTTTAGGCATAAAAACAATCCATGTATACACAATATTCTTAACACTAGATTCAATCTTGAATCTAGAAAGTTCAAAGTTGGTTGTATAATGCCTTAATTTCATCAAAGTCATAAAAAAACTGATTTTCAACTGACACCCTATCAATTTGAAAATATATGTATCTCAAACAATGTGCTGTTGGACCAAGTGTGGTCAAAACAAATAAAAATTTAGTATACAACTCTAAACCGGTATAAAAATGCATGGCTGTGTCACGTGTCTTCATTTCAAAATTCTCTGCTGAAAACATAGACATTGATGGTGTTTGCGTAATTCCATCTTTGAAGCTCAACATTAGCTCGGCAGTTGGTGGTGGACAGTCATAAATCCTTTCTGCAGTATGAATGACTTCTTCAGGAAAACCAACTTTACAATCAAAACTTTCCTCTAGATTTCTACTACAATATTCATCAAGTTTAGTTCTTTTGTTTTCACAGGAAACTGCCCTGATTTTTCTTTTTGCGGACGATTCAGTCTCTTGCTTGGTCCAGGAAAATAGGCTGGGAATGGCAGTAGACTGAAGTCTCTGTATGGTGGGTTTGCGCCCTGAAAAAGGTTATAAAACATTATTTTTTTGATAATTAAATGAACTTCCATTAGCAATGTATACTTTGTATTACCTGGCGAAATATTAACTAGATTTATTCATTACAATCTGGATAAAACTATGTTTGCCTGATTCAATGTATGTTATGTAAATCCAAAGGACAAACAATGAGAGACTTATGCAACAAACGTACATTGTTTGTACCTAAATAACTATAATATAGATGAGAGCATGTCACTGTTTTGTTCCTGTTAACATTGTCATTGATATTTTTCAAGAAAGTCTATGAGGCATAGCTTATGCATTCCTGTCATTACTACATTAGCATAATTACTGCTAAAATAATTCTCAGTATGATATAACTCTTGTAAGAAATCATTATAATTGTAGCAATCACCAAAAAATCTCACACAGATCACATTGAATCGTAATCCAAAAAATTATGACGTCTTGAATTAACCACCCCCTTTTATTCTAAAACGATAATTGCGGTTGTAAACATACTTAAGTTTATTCGCATGGCGATTACATATATAACTATATATTTCAAAAAGAAAATAGAGTTTTACCATGAATAGTTTCCTGCACGTAGTCTTTTTCAGTAAAATGTGCCTTGCAAACAACAGCTGATTGAGATGGACTCCACGATTTCATCGTGTTCTCGTCCAATCTGCGTTTGGGCCATGGCGTTGATCCAACTTTTCCTTCTTTTTAAGTCATTTGGAAATGCATGTCCTCCTCTTAAATGACATCCAGGAACACAACAACAAGTACTTGGCATCGTTAATTAAAAATGTAACTGAAATAGTTGCACAGTGCAGAAACCGGAAGTTGAGGAACAGGATCGGCTACCACGGCGCCACCTATTCAGGAACGATAATTTGCTACTTTATATAACTGCGAAATAACAATAACGTTAGACGGGTTCACGTGCATAGACAGAAATGTTCTTTAAATTGTATAATATAATTAATGTTCAGTCGACTCTTAATTATTATATCAACGACTGAAATGATTTATAAACATCTAGATTGCAGATAACACTCGAAATTAACCCGAGCTCTTTCCACACGGAATTCAATTAATTCTAGTTTGTCAATCGGTTGACTGCTTATAATGCAAAATACAAATATATCAAAAGTTTTTAAAACTAACAAAACACAATGATCGTTTCTCTATTTCCCAATGTAAATGAAATGAAACAAAAAACATTTTATATCACAATAAGAAGAGGAGAGAATTCAACATTTCCGGATCTACTTGGAGCCTAATGACCCCCCACGTAGATAAGTTGGATATCGCGGAAGGAAGGATTAACCCGGCAACTAGAAAGGCATTAAAGCACTGCCTTTAAAAATCTAAAAACATGTTTAGATTCAGCATATCAAAGAACCCCAAGAATTCAATTTTTGTTAAAATCAAACTTAGTTTAATTTTGGACCCTTTGGACCTTAATGTAGACCAATTTCAAAAACAGGACCCAAAATTAAAAATCTAAATACACGGTTAGATTTGGAATATCAAAGAACCCCAATAATTCAATTTTAGATGAAATCAAATAAAGTTTAATTTTGGACCCTTTTGACCTCAATATGAACCAATTTGATAACAGGGTCCACAAATAAAAAATCTAAATACATGGTTAGATTCAGCATATCAAGGAACCCCATATATTCAATTTTTGTTGAAATCAAACAAAGTTCAATTTTGGACCCCAATTTGGACCAACTTGAAAACTGGGCCAAAAATCAAAAATCTAAATACATGTTTAGATTCAGCATATCAAAGAACCTCATATATTCAATTTTTGCTAAAATCAAACAAAGTTAAATTTTGGACCCTTTGGACCTTAATGTAGACCAATTTGAAAACTGGACCCAAAATTAAAAATCTAAATACACTGTTGGATTCGGCATAACAAATAAATAAATGTGATCAAAGATTTTACAAATTTAATGCGCCATACTGTGCAATTAAAGATTTCTTCTTGAAATTTTTCAATATTTGAAATTTGAAAAAAAAATAATATTTGAAGAATAATTTTTTTAATTTCTGAAATCTGAAATGAGAAAAAATTGACCCCCCACAATTTCTTTTTATCCCCCCCCCCTTTTTTTTCCCCAAAAAATTCTTTCCCTCAAGATATGGTCATAATCTCAATTCAAATTTCCAATGGAGTTGGCAACCATAATTACCCATTTAAATTTACCATAGTGCTAACTTAATCTATTTTATAATAGAATTAAAAATATAGTGTCAAATCTTTCATATGGATTTTTTTGTAAAAAAAAAAGATGCAACATTTGCAGATATTTTTACTGGTCTTCCTTTATAAATATGCATTTCTTTAAACATAATTTAAAAGCAGTGTAAGGGAAGTAACCAAAACGTTGTATTTTGATTACCTCCCTTACACTGTTTTAAATTATCTTTATTGTTCATTAACCATTACTTTATACATAATTTAAAAGCAGTGTAAGGGAGATAATTTCAATGATGTATTTGATTTATCTCCCTTACACTGCTTTAAATTATGTTTTGTACTAAAGTATTTGTCCATTAACCAGGACAACCTTGTTTTTCCCCCTTTTTTGCCCCTAATTCCTAAACGGTTTGAGCCATAACCCCCCAAAGCAAATCCTAACCATCCCTTTGTGGTATGGAAACTTGTAGTATAATTTCAGAGCGATCCATACACTGTTCCACAGTTATTGTCTGGAAACTAGAAAATGCTTATTTTTGGCCCCTTTTTGGCCCCTAATTCCTTAACTGTTGGAACCATAACCCCCAAAATCAATCCCAACCTACCTTTTGTGGTATTTAACCTTATGGTCAAATTTCAAAAAGATCCATTTACTTAAACTAAAGTTAGAGTGCGAAAACCAATGTGTATTCGGACGACGACGACGCCAACGTCATACCAATATACGACCACAAAATTTTTTTGCGGTCGTATAAAAACCGTTCTCATGGGCGTAGAAAAAATCGCAATCAAAGAAAATTTCCGACCAATCATACAAATATTTCGGACCTTATTTCTATTTCAAAAAACAACGGCAGACATTATCTATTAACCAAGCTCTGTTCTTTACCTATAAATAAATTAAATAAATTTTTAGAGGATTGCAACACTATTTCATATTGCAGTCCTAAGTATGAAATAGTTCAAATTATAATGGCATATTGTTATTCTAAACTGTTTTCCAAAATTGATCGCCCTGAAGATCATAAAAAAACATTTTATTAAAATAAAGTATGTCAATAAAGGATTTGATTTTGTAAATATTGCCGGTATTTTTAACGACCATTCTGTTAAAGAACAAATTCCTGGATATTTTGATAATACTGAACTCCCTCTTATTTGTTATATTTACAAGAAATCTACCCGGAAATTTGTGTTTAATTATAGCCAAGTCTGTAAAGATGTAAATATCAGTGAAAATACACCTACGTCATGTAATTGTAGTAATTCCGAATACACTTATGGCCCCATTTCCCATGTTATAACAGGAGACCTTAACATCGTTCGCGACTAAGAGTTAAAATCATTCCTCAGTAAAGGACCTAAATATCGTCCCCCGTCAATTATTAATTGGAATGAGTGTCGTAATATCATCCACGACTCACTTCGTGCTTACTGTTTGAAATGGATAAAACAGGAAAAAGCTGACAAAAAATCTTTGGACTCTTTTTTTAATTCAGTAATGAAGATAGTTGATATATGTATACAACATTTTAAAGAACAGTTTACTCTTAACAACAACCATTAAAATCCTATTTCTGGTATCAAACAAAAACTAAAAGAACTAGCCAAGGAATTTGTTTTTGTCCCGGCTGATAAAGCTGCTAATAATATCATTATAGTTTGATGTAAATTTTACATTGAGGTTCTGCAAAAGGAAATCACCAATTCACCAACATTCCAACTGACTTCAATTTCAGAAAACAATATCTGTAACAAACATAAACTATTAGCTACTTCTTTACAAGCAGAACCAAATACAATGAAAGTCCCAACTATGTACTGGCTTCCGAAGCTACACAAATCACCTTACAAATATAGATTTATTTCGTCTTCAAGTCATTGTTCCACTACTTAATTGTCTATTCTACTTACTAGTACACTTGGTACAATCAAAAACCTGATAATAAATTGTTCAAATAAGGCCTTTGAAAATAGTGGAATTAATTACTTTGGAGTGTCAAAAACTCGTTGGAAGTACATGTACTTGATAAATTGCATGCATATATTGGTGATTTTGAATCTGTTCAAAGTTTTGATTTTTCTACCCTATATACCACTTTGCCTCATATTCTTATTAAGAAAAAATTCACACACCTAATTAAATGGGCATTTAAAAAGTCGGAATGCGAATACATATGTTCAAACTCTTTTAGGTCATTTTTTAGTAGCAACAAACAAAAGAACTGTCAATTGGACATGCTTTGATACTATATCTGCCCTTGAATTTTTACTTGATAACATTTTTGTTCGCTTTGGAGATTCCCTATATCGTCAAGTTATCGGAATTCCAATGGGGACTAACTGTGCACCACTTATTGCAGACCTATTTTTGTATTGTTATGAGTTACAATTTATGACTAAAACCAGCAAAGACCCATAGAAACAACATCTTATACAAAAATTTAACAATACTTTTAGATATTTGGATGATATATTGGCTCTCAATAATGACGACTTCAGTATGTTCACTAAAGAAATTTATCCTGTTGAACTTACTTTAAATAAAGCTAATACTAACAATGACCACTGTCCTTTCCTCGATCTTGATATCTATATCATTAATGGGAAGTTAAATACAAAAATTTATGATAAAAGAGATGATTTTTCATTTCCTATCGTTAATTATCCATTTTTAGATGGTGACGTTCCCTTGTCACCATCTTATGGTGTTAATATATCTCAACTTGTACGATTCGCTCGTGTATGTAACAATGTATTAGATTTTAGCAAGAGAAATTTATGTATTACTGAAAGATTATTAAACCAGGGTTTTTGATATCATAAACTAGTCAAAACATTTACTAAATTTTATCATCGATATAAGGACATCATTCGTAAATATAACTCAACTTGCAGACATCTTATACGTTCGGGTATTTCACATCCAATCTTTTATGGTAATATTCTTTACAAAGCACAAAAATGTCAGTATTCACCTAAAAAGCTAACAAAACCTTTAAACAGACTTATAAAGAAGGGATATAGTTACGATACTGTTGTCAGGTCATTAAAGATTGCATAAGTTGGCTTTAATATTGATTCACTTATAGGGTCTTTGCATCGGAATTAACACATTTATTCTAAAACCAGTTGTTGGCATGACATGGGTTATGTTCTTTTCATATATTTTATGACGGTATTATACTAAACCCATAACAGGAGGGATTGTGCCTGATTTTCATATGATGAAGACATAATCTTTCAATCAGTTTAATTGAGGTCTGGAGCTGGCATGTCAGTAACTGCTAGTAGTCTGTTGTTATTTATGTATTATTGTCATTTTGTTTATTTTCTTTTGTTTCCTATTCTGACATCGGACTCGGACTTCTCTTATACTGAGTTTTACTAACTGTGCGTACTGTTGTGCGTTTGTTTTTTCTACATTGGCTAGAGGTATAGGGGGAGGGTTGAGATCTCAAAAAACATGTTTAACGCCGCCACATTTTTGCGCCTGTCCCAAGTCAGGAGCCTCTGGCCTTTGTTAGTCTTGTATCATTTTTTATTTTAGTTTCCTGTGTATAATTTGGAGTTTAATATGATGTCGATTATCACTGAACTAGTATACTTATTTGTTTAGGGGCCAGCTGAAGGAAGCCTCCGGGTGCAGGAGTTTCTCGCTTGGTTGAAGACCCATTGGTGGCCTTCGGCTGTTGTCTACTCTATGGTCGGGTTGTTGTCTCTTTGACACATTCCCCATTTCCTATTCTGACATCTGTCATTCCCAATTTTAATTTTATGTAATTTTTATTCCACTTCTTTTATTGCATGAACCTTATCCCATGTGTTTCGTGCAAATTGTTAAAAAATACTATTTTTTTTTTATTTTTCGTTTGTGAATATTTGAGTATCCCTATTTACGACCCTCCCCACTTTCTGTGATCTCCAATCCCAATAGATAATAATCTAGGACAAATGAATCGTCTGTTCAATAGGACTAACGCCTCGGAACCGTCAGAATAATGAGATGTTGGGATCCGGATGTTGGACAAACGAAACACCCTACCAGATCTTCGTTCCTACTTTCGTTTTACTTATGTTAAAATGAAAAGTTCAATTCACGTGTTAAAATGTGTTGACTAAATACATAAACAGAATTTAAAACATGAAATATTCGTGCTAGCTGCAACTATATTTTGGCAAACTCTAACAACAAACCTTATCATGATCATCGCTCGTGCTACTCAATTCTACTTCCATTTTGCCTTTGGCGCTAAAATCAAATCTAAAATAGGTATTGACGATCCCGGGATCATAATGCACAGTCTCCACATTTTAAAGTATGGTTACCTTTAAAATAAACATAGTTTGACATAGGCATTATTGTTTGTGTCAAACAAGTGCACATATTCTTCAAAATGACATCCAAGGTGCTCCACTATTAATGGAGAAAATACAAGAAACTAAACTGAAGTATGGAACCACAGGCACATGTGTAAGCGTACTTTCGTTCCGCCGTTTTTTTATTCCGGGTAACTGTTTTTCACTAGAGAATATTGGATGTAAATAGTGTGAAAGCGTCGATCTTGATATCGTTGTTTTGTTTGTATTAGACCGGTTTATTGTTTACATAAATAAATGGGTTAAAATTAAAATGATTTTCAAGGAACCAGTTTAATTAATCTGAGTCAATCTAGTAATTATAAATAATATTGATGATGATGAGGAGGATGTTGTTATAACTCAAAATACTTTATCAATGATCAGGACATTGAACTTGATATAAACCAAATTTAAAGAGCAGATTTGTTCTTACATAAAGTTTCAATTATAGAAGTCGACCGAAAAGCAAATATATACACAGAAAAACTTCGACAATCCAATAAATATAAATATTACAATCAGTGACAATTTAAAAGCATATAATTTTAAAGATTTGCATATATAGAAAAATTATTTAAATCTTATTCGTTAATAAGCATTATTGTGTTATCGTGTGTTGAAAATGAGTACTAATCACTTCATCAATGTATGGATCTAAACTGAGACTACTGTGTTATAGTAGTCTCAGATCTAAAGCACTAGTGTAATTAATCCCGGTATAAAATAACTAGTGCAATCATTCCGGTACAAAATCACTAGTGTAATCATTCCTTGTTTAAAAACACTAGTGTGAACATTCCTTGGATGAAAACTCTCCACTTTTTACATAAACCATTTATGCAAGTTTCAAATACACATTTTAATATGTTTCCCCTTCAAAAAAACCTTATAATGACTGGTGGATGTTTTACACTGGACCCGGATAGAAAACCCTAGTGAATTTTTGTTGGTGGATAAAAATCACTGGGGATTTTCTTCCTCCAGATAAAGTACACTGGCGGAATCAAACCACTGTTACACTTGTCTCTGAAAAAAATAACTGTATATAGGTAATTTTTTTACAGAGACAAGTGGCTGTGTCTGGAACTAAAAAAATATATAGCTTAGTCTTGTTTTCCATTTTTCGTCACTAGTATTCCAACTCATATTTAAAAGAATGATATTTACAGAAATTTTTTTTAAGAAACCTGTACAAACTACGTTCTTATTGAAACGAACTAAAAGCTCTTTTTTCAGTTTTTCAGTTCTACGTTATTTTTGCAGTACTAAAGTTTGCACAATAAATATAGGGTTATATGTTAGTGGGTACGTCTGAATGTGGGTTCTAATATGAAAATTAAAATCATACTCCAACATTGTCCAACTTGGAACGATTTTGTGTGATCATTTCCCGACCGAGACAAATTGGTATGTATATACCGATTCCGGTGTCTGCAAAATGAATTGACAATCTCCGAACAAAGGAGTACATACAAATAAAAAATTTAAAAAAAAACATACCTATATCTGATAAATGTTTTTCAGACTTCTTTGGAACAAACCTTCCAAAACCTCCTTTCAAACAAAGTAAACAGTTTGTCTTACTTTCCATTAACCAACTTTAAAGAAATCGATACTGAAAACTGATACTATATATAGTAGGTAAAATATATATCAAATATTTATCTCGTATTTCCACGCGACTTAAGGGTTTTAAATATTAAATCCTGACCTGTTATAGATTTGAATATACTGTGTTTAAAACGCATGTGTACAAAGTTTTTTAAGCTTAAAGATACGTTTGTTTCAAACCTCTCACACGTATAGATGTTGTTTGATTAGATTAAAATGAGATGTGGTGGTAAACTATAATAGGACAGTAACATAATATTTCCTTCTATATGCCTTATGTATACAAAATTAAATATTTTATTAGATATGTATATATGTGAGTGTGGGCGGTGGTGTGTGTGGGGGTGGAGGAGGGGGGTGGAGGGGGGAAGTATGGGCTGGTCTTCATTTCTATATCTTTATATCTTTTCTTTTTTTTTTCACTATTTCTTTCTACTCTTTAATTTTCTGCCAATTGTTCTCTATTCTTTATATTTCTTCACACCTTTAATCTGATTTCTATATACTTGGGGCCCATTTTTCTTCTTCTAGTCTTTACTTATTGACCATTATTCTAATCTGTAAACCCGAGTTATACCCTCATTCACGGTAACCCTTTGATACCCTCATACATGTACATGGTAATTGATACATATATATTACTGTATTATGATATAAAGTAGGTCTATAAAAATACAATAGCATTTTATTAATGATTATATATAAGGCAATGACCATTCATGTTTTGTGGACGGGGAAGGTTTTGTTTATTTAAGCAAATTGTTGGTTTCCATTTAGAATAAGGGGAAAAGAAACAAGAAATTCAGTTTTAAAAAAATAAATGTTCCTGTATGTTACTGAAAAAAAGTTTGTTGTTTAATAAAATCCGAAAAAGACTGTTCTGAGAAAGATATATTCCCCAGAAACCGTATACAATGTGAGTGTTTAGTAATAAAGTCTGTTGTTGTCGTTTGTTAATTGCTGTATATCAAATTTACTTTCCGTTTTTTGCTTTGTGCATGAATTATTTTACATTTGTCTTTTCGGGGCCATTATTAAAGGCCGTACGGTGACCTATAGTCATGATAGTTGCTACAAATGTAACATCTACGTCATTTTGGTCTCTGGTAGAGAGTTGTCTCAATGGCTATCATACCACATCTTCCTTTTTCATATTTGAAAGTTACAACACAAATGATAGAAAACTGTGTTGTATAATTGGAAAAGGTATGCAGTTTAATTATTATTATTAATGTATGTCTAGTTAAATGTATATAAGTCGATGTAAGTTTAAGACTCAAAAGATATTAAACTGTTGTACTTTAGTAGTGCCATATGGATGAGGGTCTGGATTGGGTTTACAGAGTAGATAATAATGGGCAAAAAGTGCAAAATAAAGTGCGAAAAACATAAAGAATAGAGAATGGGTTTACAGAGTAGAGAATAATGGGAAAAGTGCAAAATAAAGTGCGAAAAACATAAAGAATAGAGAAAAATAGGCTTTGATAATAAACAATAGAGAATAATGGGGTGCTGAAATATAAAGAATAGAGAATAAGCCTTAAGGTCAAAACAGATAAAGAAAAGAGAAAAATGGTCTAAAAAGTTAAAGTATAAAGAAATGAAGCATCCCCCATCCAGACCCTCATGAATGTAGAGAAGTGTCTTAGATATTCACATGAAGGTGAGAGTTTTTTTGCTCAGTGTTGAGGTCTCACTGTGACTTTGAGATGAAGACCAGCAATAAAAGAGCTGTATGTTTTTTTGTTGTGCATTTACTGATTTTGTGTCATGGATGGATACCCCATATCCTTTGTTTTTCTATTATTAAACCCGTATCTGAGTTTCTTATACTTTGAACATAATGAGGACTTGTGGACATGTTTGTTGTTCAATGCGTTATGAATTGGATTACGATATAGGTTATTGATATGAAAAATCGACTATAGCCTTGGATCTTGGGTCACAGTTAGACAACAACAACGTCAAAGTCAGTCAGTTATGGTGGTGTTAATCACTTGTCAATAAATTCAAGGCAACGCTCCTGAAAATAGTCACAAGTCCTTTCGTTTGTTGTTAAAACCATCACGAGACTTATAGAAAGTAGACTACAGAAAAAACCACAAACCGTTTTATTTATCATGATGAGTTTAATCCCATAACTCCGAAAAGACCATTTAAAAGGGCATTAAAACTAAAAGGAGGCTTCAGTTTAATGCCCCTGACAGTATATATAACAATATATTTTTTTCAATCGTTACAAAGATTTCAAAGATAAACAGCTATATTTGAACAACTTATAATCTCGACATAAAAAGATACACGTCTAGATTTCAATAACGAAATAAGATATGGAAAATATGCAATTGGATTTGAAAGACTAATTGCCAGATTTGAAAAAATATACAACCATTAATTGTAGATGTGTTTTTTTTAGAGTTTACTTGTGTGAATTGGACAAATGGTTTCTGTGTAATAGCACAGAAACGACACAAAGTGTTATTTCCAATAGATCAAGGATCATAACTCTTGAACGGTAAAAGAGAAATCATCAAAACCGAGCTTGACCTCTTTAAATTGAGCTTTTTAATTTTGAAACCTTTGCTGTTGTTGTTTTTGTTGATGTTTTTTTCAAACATAATTTCATATAGAAATAAGAAGATATATCTCATCGTAGAGTCTTCAACAATGAATAAAACATATTACATGTACGCATATTCAGCTATAAGTAACACCAACATGACAAATGTAAACAATTCAAACGAAAAAGTAATCCATTTCTATGTGTGTTTATTCATTGTTATTATCATTACTTGTTGCACTGTCCCATATTTCATGTCATACGTGTTTTACAATATCAGAAACAATTATTTTTGTCAGACGAAATTTTACTTTATGGTTCAACGGAACTCATTTATTGATTTGATTTGATTTAAATACATTTGTACTTTTCGGGTGAAAACAGTCTAAATGTGCTTATTTGTATTAGAAAATGGATTAATAAAAGTTCACAACTTGTTTCCGGATCCTACTAATTATTCAATTGTAGTGATATGTTCATACCAAATTGCATCTTCATGTTGTTCATCTTAAATATTATATATTATTATAAAATATTACGCCATCAAGTGTCTACTTCGATCTAACAAGTGGGTTTATATCTTGGTTTATCTGTTACAATATATCCGGAAGATATAACCCATTCTCCAATCACATACGAATTCATTTATAAACAGCATAAGTCTTAACGACACAAAATTTTCTTTACTATAACCAGACCATGGAAGACATAAGTTA